CGCCAGGCCCGCGCGCCCGGGGGAGGGGACCCCTTCCCCGACAACTGCACTCACTCCACACCTCAGCCCGCCACAGCGCCACGCAGGGAATGCCTGGGAGGGAGTAGGGAGGCCAGCAGAGCGGGTTAGCCGAGGGCAGAACCGTCCTAGCTGAAGGCACAAGGTCAAGGTGAGCTTTAGCTTCGGGATAGACTACTGACAGGCGGAGCTGTAAAACGAGACGAACCCCTCCGTGGATGGAACACCGGGGGTGCTTTGGTGGTTAGAAGGAAATGAGGGAGTTCAGGAGGCTTTGCACCAAGAGCAGCTGCTGAGCTGTTCTCCAAGGAGATGGCAAACTTAGCGGGATGAGGAGTGGAAGGAAAGGGAGAAGATGATGTTCTTTTCTTGGCAGATGAAACAACTACTTCGGCCCAGGCCAGAATGTCCGTAGGTTATATACAACACGGTCATGAGTGGAGGGGAAGTTGGAAAGTAGAGGGTGTGTCGAGATCAGAATAGTTCTTCCCAAAGCTGGGAAAAGCAGTGGAAAGTTTTGTTTTTCCCCTTGGAAGTATTGATGTTTGAAGTCAGTAAATTTAACGTTTCATAGAGACCAGCCTTTATACCACTTGAACAACTCTGCACGGGGCTGGGAAGGTGGCTCAGTGGTACAGTGGTTGCCTCACATGCATGAAGCCGTGGCTTCAATTCCTCAGTACCTCATACACAGAAAAAGCTGGAAGTGGTGCTGTGGCTCAGGTGGTAAAGTTCTAGCCTTGAGCAAATGAAGCTCAGGGACAGTGCCCAGGCCCTAAGTTCAAGCCCTAGGACTGGCAAAAACAAACAACAAAAATGACCAACTCTGCCAGCCCCCAGGAAGGATTTTGAGGAGGGTCTGAGAGCAGTCAGAGGGGCACATTAGAGGAGATAGAGGAGACAGTTCCCTCCCCAGGGCACTTGCCACAGCACACATTTGCTGTGTGTGAAATATGTGTACTACTTTGCAGAATACAAAAGGATGAAATATTTTAGGAAGTGTTTTGTAACTGTATATAACACTAAAAAGACTTGGCTTAACCAGGTGCTGATGGCTCATGCCTGTAATCCTAAGCTACTCATGAGGCTAAGGTCTGACACCACTGTGCTCAGGGAGAAAGGTCTAAGAGACTCTTATCTCCATCTTAACTAGCAGAGAGCCAGGCTGTCCAGGTGTTGGTGGCTCATGCCTATAATCCTAGCACTCTTGAGATAGATCTGAGGAACATGGTTCAAAGTTAGCCTGAGCAGAAAAGTGGATGAGACTCTTATCTCCAATTAAGGAGTCAAGAGCTACAAGTGGAAATGTGGCTTAATTAATAGAATGCCAGCCTTGAGTGAAAATGCTAAGGGAGATTGGGAGTTGGTGGTTCACGACTATAATCCTATCTGCTTAGAAAGCTGAGATCTGAGGATTGCTGTTCAGCCAGCCCATACAGGAAAGTCTGTGAGACTCTGATCTCCAATTAACCACACACACACAATAAAAGCCAGAAGTGGCACTGTGGCTCAAGTGGTAGAGCACTAACCCTAAGCAAAAAATTTGCTCAGGGGCAACACCTGGTCTCTGAGTTCAAGCCCCAGTACTGGCATCAGAAGATTAAAAAAAAAGCCAGTTGAGCATGGTTCAAGTGGCAGAATCCCAGCCATGTAAGCAAACCAAGCAAGCCTGAGACCCTACATTCAAGTCCCAGAGTTGACAAAAAACAACAACAAACAAACATAGGCTTACTATGGCACAGTGGGAAGGAGGTAAAAAAAGCTTTGTTTATTTAGAGACAGGGTCTCACATGTAGCCTGGGCTAGCCTGGAACTGTCAGTTCTCCCGACTCAGCCTCTCCAGTGCTGATAGCACTGATATATACAACACTGCCTGGCCTAAGTTTCTTTTGGGGGTAGAATGGGAAAGGACCAGTACTTGGGGGTAGGGTGAGAAAGGGCCAGTATTTGGGCTTGGACTCAGGTCCTCAAGCTCTCACTTGAGTTTTTCTGCTCAAAGCTGGCGCTCTTAACACTTGAGCACAGCTCTACTTCCAGCTTTTTATTTTTTCTTAATCGGTTGTAGGGCTTGAACTCTAGGCTTGGGCGCTGTCCCTGCACTCTTCAGCTCAAGGCAAGTGCTCTACTGCTTGGAGCAACAGCGCCACTTCTGGTTTTCTAGTGGTTTATTGGAGATAAGAGTCTCACGGACTTTCTAGCCCAGGCTGGCTTTGAACCTCGATCCTCAGATCTCAGCCTCCTGAGTAGCTAGAATTAGAGATGTGAGCTACCAGCTTACTTCCAGCTTTTTGCTGGTTAGTTGGAGATAATCTCACAGATTTTCTGCCCAGGTTGCCTTTGAACCTTGGTCCTCAAATCTCAGCCTCCTAATAAGGTAGGGTTACCAGTGTGAGCCACTAGCTCTTGGCCTAGGTTTTTATAACATGAAGGTTTTGAGTTTGTAGCTTAGTAATAGAGCACTTGTGCAAAGCCCTGGGTTCAAACTCAGTACCAGGAAAAGAACAAACAGAAAAACTTGGGCTGGGAATGTGGCTTAGTGGTAGAGTGTGTGCATGAAGCCCTGGGTTTGAATCTCAGCACCACATAACCAGAAAAGGCTGGAGGTGACTGGGCTCAAATGGTAGAGTGCGAGCCTTGAGCAGAAGCAGCTCAGGGACAGCGCCCAGGCCCTGAGTTCAGGCCTAGGACTGGCAATAAAAAAGAGAAACTCACTAGAATTAGCTTTTTTTTTCTTCCTTTTTTTTTTTTTTCCTTTGGTAGGTTGTGGGGCTTGAACTCTGGGCCTGGGCACTGTCCCTGAGCTCTTCAGCTCAAGGCTAGTGCTTTATTCATTGGAGCCACAGGGTCACTTCCGGTTTTCTGGTGGCTAATTGGAGCTAAGAGTCTCACGGACTTTCCTGCCTGGGCTGGCTTTGTACTGCCATCCTCAGATCTCAGCCTCCTGAGTAGCTAGGATGACAGGTGGGAGCCACTGGCACCCAGCAACTTTTCTTTTCTCTCTTTTGCTTTAGGCATTCTTAGGTGCCTGTTGTGTGCATTCCTTTATTTGGAGAGGTACTGACTCACACCGCAGTTAGAGATGCCTGCCCGCGAAGCGTGCACTGTGGGGGAGAGGCCACTCACACCTCAGTTAGAGATGCCTGCCCGCGAAGCATGCACTGTGGGGGAGGGGCCAGGCCCTGCCAGCAGGACGAAAGGGAGAGAGCAGAGATGATGGGGGATTGCATCTCCCTGGGACGGTGGGAGTTGATCTGAGATGAGGCGTCGAGAAGCTTGTGGGGTGAAGCAAAGAGGTTCCAGGTGGAGGGAGCCTTCTAGAATGAGGGAGTGAGGGGGGAGGTGAGACAGCAGGTCACAGAGATAGTAGGGTGGGCTGGGGCTCGAGCATGCACTGTCTGAGCCAAGTGACCTGGTCTGCATTACGTTTTGAGAGACTGCTGGAGAGCAGTCTTAGGAATGCAAGAAGGCCAGTCAGAGTGGTGCAGTCTTTCATTAGGCAAGTGGCAATGGTGCCTTGGACCACTGCAGCCCTGGAGGAGGTGGGAAGTTGTCAGGTTGAGGGTAAAAAGGGGTCTGTCAAAGTAAACAAGACTGGAAAAACAAAGGACCCCCACTCATCTGGCCATATCACTACTCAATGACCCCATGCTGAGACCACATAATATGGCATATATGTGCACATCTGAGAGAAACTAGGAGGAGGACACAGAACCAGCGGGAAATGGGAAACCATACAACAGCAGGACCCATCAGCTGCACTGGTCACTGATGAAAATGAACTAAGCAACTCAGTGGCAGTGATGGGAGGGAGGAAAGGAGTGGGAAAGAGGGAACAGCTGACACTAAGCAAAAGGAAAGGAATGCACATATCACCGATGTGGAAGAAATAACTATTGTCAGAGCTCATAAACGTTATAGATCACGATAGAGACAATTTGCCCCATGAAGGTTAGAATGTGTTTGTGACTTTCACTAAGTATCACTGTCGCACAATACTGTGAAACTTGTGAAATTTATGTAATCACTTAATCACAATGAAAAAAACAGACCAAAAAAAGGGTGGGGTCCGTGAGAAGAGGTGAACTGAGTGGCAGGGGCACAGGTGCGCTCCTGCAGGTGGCACCCGGCTGGCGGCACCCACCTACCTCCTTTTTCTTTCCAGTCCTGGGGCTTGAACTCAGGACCTGGGCACTGTTCCTGAGCTGTTTTTTTTTGCTCAAAGCTAGTGCTCTACCACTTGAGCTACAGCGCCACTTCTGGCTATTTCTGTGTATGCAGTACTGAGAAATCAAACCCAGGGCTTCATGCATGCTAGGCAAATACTCTACCTCTGAGCCACGTTCCCAGTCCTTCACACAGGCCCAGCACAGGCTGTACAAAATAGGCTGCAACCAAGCTGAGGTGATAGAGCTCCTCTCAGGTAAAATGATTGGGAAGGGTCCTTGAAGAGGTGCATGATGGGAGCATCACTGTAATCTCAGCCTTGGAAGGCTGAGACAGGAGCGTCCTGAGTTACAGGCCAGCCCAGACCCCACAATGAGACCTTTTCTAAAGAAAAACAAAAAGGAGGCCTTGCGCTCTGGTGTAACTGTGTAGGTGTGCAGCTGGGCAGGTTGCTGCAGAGCAGCCTGGTGGCCAGGCACAGGTGGCTGTGAGCTGCCTGGCACGCACAGGTGAGCGTGAGCTGCCTGGCACACAGAGGTGAGCGTGAGCTGCCCGGCACGCGCAGGTGGCTGTGAGCTGCCCGGCACGCACAGGTGAGCGTGAGCTGCCCGGCACACGCAGGTGGGCGTGAGCTGCCCGGCACACGCAGGTGGGTGTGAGCTGCCCGGCACACGCAGGTGGCTGTGAGCTGCCCGGCACGCGCAGGAGCTGCCTGGCACACGCAGGTGGGCGTGAGCTGCCCGGCACACGCAGGTGGCTGTGAGCTGCCCGGCACACGCAGGTGGGCGTGAGCTGCCCGGCACACGCAGGTGGGTGTGAGCTGCCCGGCACACGCAGGTGGCTGTGAGCTGCCCGGCACGCGCAGGTGGGTGTGAGCTGCCCGGCACGCGCAGGTGGGTGTGAGCTGCCCGGCACACGCAGGTGGCTGTGAGCTGCCGGGCACGCGCAGGTGGCTGTGAGCTGCCCGGCACGCGCAGGTGGCTGTGAGCTGCCCGGCACGCGCAGGTGGCTGTGAGCTGCCGGGCACGCGCAGGTGGCTGTGAGCTGCCGGGCACGCGCAGGTGAGCGTGAGCTGCCCGGCACGCGCAGGTGGGCGTGAGCTGCCCGGCACGCGCAGGTGGCTGTGACCTGCCCGGCATGCGCAGGTGAGCGTGAGCTGCCCGGCACGCACAGGTGAGCGTGAGCTGCCCGGCACACAGAGGGGCCCACAGTTGCTTTTGGGAGCACCTGGCTTGCGTGCTGGCACACAGGAGGATTGAGCATGCCTCCTGGTGCCCTCCACCCTGAGGGCCCCCAGGATTGGCCCCTTACTGTCCTCTCTGTCTTCCCTCCAGGTTTTGACCAAGAGTGACGGGAGCACGGGTGAGTGGAGGGTGGGTAGCTGCCCCTGCTCGGGGGAGGGGAGGCGGGGGAGGGAAACACAGCCAGAGTTCAGGGCCCAGGCCTGATCGGCTGGTGCCTTGCTAGAGGGGAAGACTCACCGGGAAAAGCTGGAGCTGGTGGCCTCCTTCTCCTTCTTCGGCAATGTCATGTCCATGGCCAGTGTGCAGCTGGCAGGTGCCAAGCGTGACGCTCTGCTCCTCAGCTTCAAGGATGCCAAGGTAAGGGTGGGCTGGTGGGAAGTGGGCACAGTGGCGGGGGGGGGGCTGCTGAGCGGGGACCCATCTGACCTCCCTTCCCCAGCTGTCAGTCGTGGAATATGACCCCGGCACACACGACCTCAAGACCCTGTCCCTGCACTACTTTGAGGAGCCTGAGCTTCGGGTAGGCCATCCCAGTGCTTCCAGGAGGTTCCTCCTCGTGTCCGTCGTCGCCCTGCTGACCTCCCCTCTGTCCCCAGGACGGGTTTGTGCAGAACGTGCACACGCCTCGCGTGCGGGTAGACCCCGACGGGCGCTGTGCAGCCATGCTCATCTACGGTACGCGGCTGGTGGTGCTGCCCTTCCGCAGGGAGAGCCTGGCTGAGGAGCACGAGGGGCTCATGGGAGAGGGGTGAGTAGCGGGCCTGGGCCGCCAGGGGGCAGCCTGCATTCCCTTCCGCCTGCCCCCCTTCCCTCCTGTGACGCCCTGGGCCCTCAGGCAGAGGTCCAGCTTCCTGCCCAGCTACATCATTGACGTGAGGGCTCTGGATGAGAAGCTGCTCAACATTGTTGACCTGCAGTTCCTGCACGGCTACTATGAGCCCACCTTGCTCATCCTGTTCGAGCCTAACCAGACGTGGCCTGGGTGAGGCGGGGGCCCTGGAACTCGGGGTTCTCTGCCCTGGGGTGTGGGTGGGGGCTGGGCAGGGTGGGCGAGGCTGGGCTGGGGCTGACCCCGCCTGCTGTGCCAGGCGCGTGGCTGTGAGACAGGACACATGCTCCATCGTGGCCATCTCACTGAACATCACCCAGAAGGTCCACCCCGTCATCTGGTCTCTCACCAGCCTGCCTTTTGACTGCACCCAGGCCCTGGCTGTGCCCAAACCCATAGGTGAGCGTCCAGGTCGCCGCATAGCGGTGCGTAGTGGAGGGGCGGGTGACTGAACCGCCTACCAGCCCGCATCGTCCCGCAGGTGGGGTGGTGATCTTCGCGGTCAACTCCCTGCTGTATCTGAACCAGAGCGTCCCCCCGTACGGCGTGTCTCTCAACAGCCTCACCACAGGCACCACGGCCTTCCCGCTGCGTGAGTGGGCGCACCCAGGGACAGTGGGTTGTGCCCCCCCTCCCCCCCGCGGGGCCTCCGGCCATCTGATCACCTGCCCACAGGTACGCAGGAAGGTGTGCGGATCACCCTGGACTGCGCCCAGGCGGCCTTCATCTCCTATGACAAGATGGTCATCTCCCTCAAGGGTGGAGAGATGTGAGCACCCCGCCTGTCCCCTCCCTGCCCGCAGAGCCCCGCCCGCCCTGCTTCGTTCAGGGCCCCACTCACGCCTCGCCCACAGCTACGTGCTGACCCTCATCACGGATGGCATGCGAAGTGTCCGAGCATTCCACTTCGACAAGGCGGCCGCTAGCGTCCTCACCAGCAGTGTGAGTAGAGACGCAGGGACGGCCCGGGCCGGGCTGGGCCCTGCCCTCATCTCTCTCCTCCCCCCCTGCAGATGGTCACCATGGAGCCCGGGTACCTCTTCCTTGGCTCTCGCCTGGGGAACTCCCTCCTCCTCAAGTACACAGAGAAGCTGCAGGAGCCCCCAGCCAGTGCTGTCCGGGAAGCTGCCGACAAGGTGGGTGCCACAGGCGGCTGCCGCTCCTGGCAGGAGGCCACCTTGCAGGCCGCTCACTCCGCTCTTACCTCACAGGAAGAGCCTCCCTCCAAGAAGAAGCGGGTGGACGCCGCCGTGGGCTGGTCAGGTGAGGGCCGGAGTAGGCCGAGCCGGTGAGAGGCTGGGGGCGGGGCTGGCTTAGGGCTCAGCTCTCTGTGTTGCAGGAAGCAAGTCTGTCCCGCAGGACGAGGTGGACGAGATCGAGGTGTATGGCAGTGAGGCCCAGTCTGGTACACAGCTGGCAACCTACTCATTTGAGGTGAGCGGGGACAGCAGCGGCCTCCCCTGGCCTGACCATGCAGCCTCCTGACCACCGCTGTACCCTAGGTGTGCGACAGCATGCTCAACATCGGACCCTGTGCCAACGCTGCCGTGGGAGAGCCTGCTTTCCTATCCGAAGAGGTGCTGGGAGGGGAGGGGCTGAGGGGCTGGGGTGTGTGGGAGGGGCGGGTGTAAGTGGGGAGGGAAGGGGAGGGGCGGGCAGGGGGGGAGGGGGAGGGGCGGGCTGGGTTTGAGTTGTGCCTGCGAAACCGTTCTTTTCCCTCCCTGTGCAGTTTCAGAACAGTCCTGAGCCAGACTTGGAGATTGTGGTCTGTTCCGGCTATGGGAAGAATGGGGCCCTGTCTGTGCTGCAGGTGTGTAGAGGAAGGGGAGGGACTTCTTCTTAGCACCTGACTGGGCTGACCCCTGACTGCATCTTTATTCCAGAAGAGCATCCGGCCCCAAGTAGTAACGACCTTTGAACTTCCGGGTTGCTATGACATGTGGACCGTCATAGCCCCTGTGCGTAAGGAGGAGGTAGGCCAGATGTGTGAGGACCGGCCGGGTCCGGAGGGCCACAGCCACGTTTGCCAGCCGCCACGGCTCCTTCCTGCCCTTGTCTCTTCCCAGGAGGAGACGCCCAAGGCAGAGGGTGCAGAGCAGGGCCCCAGGGCGCCTGAAGCAGAGGACGGCGGGCGAAGGCACGGCTTCCTCATTCTAAGCCGGGAAGATTCAACCATGGTAAAGGGCCGGGCCGGCGGCTCTGGCCGTGGCTGGGGTTGGGGTTGCTGAGGGGAGGGGCTGCTCACACTGTCTCCACAGATCCTGCAGACCGGCCAGGAGATCATGGAGCTGGACACCAGTGGCTTTGCCACACAGGGCCCCACGGTCTTTGCCGGAAACATCGGGGACAATCGGTACATTGTGCAAGTGTCTCCTCTGGGCATCCGTTTGCTGGAAGGAGGTAGGTAGCTGGGTCTGGCCCAGCGGGTTTGGAGAGGTGTAGACTGAGCTATCCCATGCTGACCGCCCCGTGCCCACAGTGAACCAGCTACACTTCATCCCCGTGGACCTGGGCGCCCCTATTGTGCAGTGTGCAGCAGCTGACCCCTACGTGGTCATCATGAGCGCCGAGGGCCATGTCACCATGTTCCTACTCAAGAGCGACTCCTATGGCGGCCGCCACCACCGCCTGGCGCTGCACAAACCCCCTCTGCACCATGTAGGCCTCCAACTCCTGTCTGCCCACAGCCCCAGGGCCCTCCCCCACCTGCCTGCCCACAGCCCCTGACCCTCCCCCCTCCCCCACCTCCCTGCCGCCTACATCTGGAGCCCCCACCCTGCAGCAGTCCAAAGTCATTGCGCTCTGCCTGTACCGCGATGTCAGTGGCATGCTCACCACCGAGAGCCGCCTGGGTGGAACCCGCGATGAGCTGGGAGGCCGCAGTGGCTCGGAGGTCGACGGCTTGGGCTCGGAGACGAGGTGCGTGGCGGCCGGGGTGCTGGGGGTCTGGGTGTCGGTGGCACGCTGTGAGATGTCTGTTGGTCTCCAGCCCCACGGTGGATGACGAGGAGGAGATGCTGTACGGGGACTCCAGCTCCCTTTTTAGCCCCTGCAAGGAAGAGGCGCGGAGGAGCAGCCAGCCCCCGGCTGACCGTGACCCCGCGCCCTTTCGAGCAGAGCCCACACACTGGTGTCTGCTGGTGCGAGAGAACGGCACCATGGAGGTGGGTGTGCTTGAAACCAGGGCCCCTGCTGCCCAGCCGTGGCTTCTTCCCCGCACCGCTAACCATTGTCCCTCCACAGATCTACCAGCTCCCTGACTGGAGGCTGGTGTTTCTGGTGAAGAACTTCCCTGTGGGGCAGCGGGTCCTAGTGGACAGCTCCTTCGGACAGCCTCCCACCCAGGGCGAGGCCCGGAAGGAGGAGGCCACTCGGCAGGGGGAGCTGCCCCTGGTCAAGGAGGTGCTGCTGGTGGCGCTAGGGAGCCGCCAGAGCCGGCCCTACCTGCTGGTGAGTGTCTGTCCCGCTGCGGCTGCCTGCGGCTGCACCACAGCACGCCCTCACCTTCCCTGCGCGGGCCTCCTCCCCCCAGGTCCACGTGGACCAGGAGCTGCTCATCTACGAGGCCTTCCCCCATGACTCTCAGCTCGGCCAGGGCAACCTCAAAGTCCGCTTCAAGAAGGTGCCAGTGGCTAGAGCCTGCTGGGGGGTGGGGAGGGGGAGGCAAGCGGGGTCTGGAGGGCCAGATGTTCACTGCAGCCTCTGCCAGGTTCCCCACAACATTAACTTCCGTGAGAAGAAGCCAAAGCCGTCCAAGAAGAAGGCGGAAGGTGGTGGCGCCGAGGAGGGGCCTGGAGTCCGGGGCCGCGTGGCCCGTTTCCGCTATTTTGAGGATATTTATGGCTATTCAGGGGTAGGCAGGTGTCTTCCCAGGGACCTAGGGTAGAGGGTGGCCTGTCCCCTAACTGTGAGTGCTCATGGCGCCTGCCTCCAGGTGTTCATCTGTGGCCCCTCACCCCACTGGCTCCTGGTGACCGGCCGGGGTGCCCTGCGACTGCACCCCATGGGCATTGATGGCCCCATTGACTCCTTTGCCCCATTCCACAACGTCAACTGCCCCCATGGCTTCCTGTACTTCAACAGACAGGTAGGAAGGCCTGCTTCTTTCCAGGTGCTGAGGTGCCGGAAGGGAGACCGTGGTACCCGGGCGCATGTGGGCTGGGTAGTGAGTGCACGCAGGGAGCAAGAATTGAGTGTGTGGCCGGGCGCCAGTGACTCAACGCCTGTAATCTCAGGAGGCTGAGATCTGAGGATTGCGGTTCAAAGCCAGCCCGGGCAGGAAACTCTGTGAAACTCTTTAATAAACCACCAGAAAACTGGAAGTGGCGCTGTAGCTCAAGTGGTAGAGCGCTCGCCTTGAGCTGAAGAGCTGAGGGACGGCACTCAGGCCCAGAGTTCAGGCTCACGAGAATTGAGTGTGTAAAGGCTCGTGCGGCCAGGGATGGAATGGGGCTCTATGTTGAAGAGGACTAGCTAATGAGGTTATCTGCTGCTGCTGTTGGGGTTCACCTCTGAAGCCTTTGTCCTAGCCTCGCCTCAGCCCTTTTCCCAGAGCCAGGCTAAGCTGGTGTCGTTGTTGTGTGGCAGGGGAGAGACAGCCCTTCCTGGAGCCTGTTTCCCCTGTGCCGTCCAAATGGCAGCAGTGACCAGTTGGGTCACTGGGGTTGCTGTGACCCGGTCAGTGTCTAGATGGCAGCCCGGTGCCCTCTTGTAGGGTCTCCGGCACAGCCAGGCTCTGGGGGTCCCCTGATCTAAGATTAGCCTGAAAATGGACCACGGCTCACTGGCCAATGGCAGGGAATCTGGCCACCAAAGGTGTGGGCCCTGCAGAACCTCTACCAGATGTGGCAGCCCCAGCAGTGGCCAGTGGTCTGGGTCCACCCACCCTGCCAGTGGCCATCTGGGATGGCCACGCTGATTGCCACCCTTGCACCCCACCCCAGGGTGAGCTGAGGATCAGTGTTCTGCCTGCCTACTTGTCCTATGACGCCCCATGGCCCGTCCGGAAGATCCCGCTGCGCTGCACGGCCCACTACGTGGCTTACCACGTGGAGTCCAAGGTGTGTACCCCCGCTCCCTCGTCCCAGCTGTCTGAGGCCTGGCAGCGGCTTGCAGCACCTCCCCCCTCCCCAGGTATACGCAGTGGCAACCAGCACCAATACTGCTTGCACGCGCATCCCTCGCATGACTGGTGAGGAGAAGGAGTTTGAGGCCATTGAGAGAGGTGAGCCGGCAGCCCGCAGCCCTGGGGGAGGGAGGAGCAGGCTCCGCTGCACTTGGGCACGGCCGTGACCTGCCTGCTGGTCCCTGCAGATGACAGGTACATCCACCCCCAGCAGGAGGCCTTCTCCATCCAGCTCATCTCCCCGGTCAGCTGGGAGGCCATCCCCAACGCCAGGTGAGGCGCCCCTGCGGTGGCGGGCCTCCCTGCCGCCAGCAGAGGGAGGTTTGCTCACACGGCCTTCCCCCGCGCAGGATCGAGCTGGAAGAGTGGGAGCATGTCACCTGCATGAAGACCGTGTCCCTGCGCAGTGAGGAGACCGTGTCTGGCCTCAAGGGCTATGTGGCAGCTGGGACGTGCCTCATGCAGGGCGAAGAGGTCACGTGCCGTGGGCGGGTAAGGCCCTGTGGGGAGGGGCGGGGAGGGGCCGACCTGCCCATCTGCTGTCCCCACTCACCCCTCCCCCACCCTGACAGATCTTGATCATGGATGTGATTGAGGTGGTGCCTGAGCCTGGCCAGCCCCTGACCAAGAACAAGTTCAAGGTGCTATATGAGAAGGAACAGAAGGGGCCAGTGACTGCTCTGTGCCACTGCAACGGCCACTTGGTGTCGGCCATCGGGCAGAAGGTGTGCTGTCTGCCCGCCCCCCCTCCCTGCATCCGGGCCTCTACCCCGTCTGCAGTGTTCTCTACTGATGCTGTGCCCCTCCCCCACTCCACCCCAGATCTTCCTGTGGAGTCTGCGGGCCAGCGAGCTGACAGGCATGGCCTTCATCGACACTCAGCTGTACATCCACCAGATGATCAGCGTTAAGAACTTCATCCTGGCAGCCGACGTCATGAAGAGCATCTCACTGCTGCGCTACCAGGAAGAAAGCAAGACGCTGAGCCTGGTGTCCCGAGTACTAGCGGGAGGCTGGCCGGTGGTGGGAGGGCAGCAGCCCAAGGCCTGTCCTGATAGCATCCCACCCCTCCCCAGGACGCCAAGCCCCTGGAGGTGTACAGCGTGGACTTCATGGTGGACAATGCCCAGCTGGGATTCCTTGGTGAGCGAGTGATGCCTCTCCAGGTGCTGGTGGCTCATACCTAGTATCCTAGCAACACCTGAACATCCAGGCCAGCCTAGGCACACAGTCCAAGAGACTCCAAGCTCCAATTAACCAGGAGAAAGCTGGAATTGGTCAAGTAGTGTAGTGTCAGCCTTGAGCAAAAGAGCCAAGCCAGAACGTCAGGACCTGATTTCAAGTCCCAGTATAGGCAGGGTAAAAAAAAAAAAAAGGGTGGTACCTTGGGGTGGAGGCAGGGGTAGCTGGGTTGACTCCAGCCCTTCGCTCCGCAGTTTCTGACCGAGACCGCAACCTCATGGTGTACATGTACCTGCCTGAAGGTGAGTGGCCCCCGCCCCACCCTTGTCAGGGCTCATGCCAGGTGCTGGGCAGCAGTGACCTGAGTCTTCTGGCCTAGCCAAGGAGAGTTTCGGGGGCATGCGCCTGTTGCGCCGGGCAGACTTCCATGTGGGTGCCCATGTGAACACGTTCTGGAGGACCCCGTGCCGAGGGGCTGCCGAGGGGTCCAGCAGGAAGTCGGTTGTGTGGGAGAACAAACACATCACTTGGTTTGGTGAGTGTGGCCATGGGGGTGGGGGAGGTTGGGGGGGTGGGCCTAGCTCACACATCATCCTCCCCAGCAACCCTGGACGGTGGCATTGGGCTTCTGCTGCCCATGCAGGAGAAGACCTACCGGCGGCTGCTGATGTTGCAGAATGCTCTGACCACCATGCTGCCCCACCACGCCGGCCTCAACCCCCGAGCCTTCCGGTGAGCACTGCCCCCTCCCCAGCCCCGCCTGCCCTGGACATGCCGTGACTCCCCCATTTGCCCGCCTGGCCAGGATGCTGCACGTGGACCGGCGCGTGCTGCAGAATGCCGTGCGCAACGTGCTTGATGGGGAGCTGCTCAACCGCTACCTGTACCTCAGCACCATGGAGCGCAGCGAGCTGGCCAAGAAGATCGGCACCACCCCTGACATTGTGAGCGCTTGCTGCCCGCCGCCCGCCCCAGCCTGTCCCTTTGCCTGCCCCTGTCCTCCTGCCCTAACCTCCCCTTGCGCCACAGATTCTGGACGACTTGCTGGAGACGGACCGGGTCACCGCCCACTTCTAGGCCCTCGGATGCGACCCTGGCCCGTGTGCACTGCCTCCCTCCCCGCCCCCCTTTTGTACAAAACACACCAAGAACAATTTGTTTTCAGGCAAGTGTGTGGTCATTGCGTTGTCAGAGCCCCACAGCGTATTCCCGCGCCCCAGGCCCCTGGGGTGTAAGGTGTCCATACCACTGGCCTGGCTAGCTCCATCTGTTGACACTAGAAGTCTTGCTGGCCCTGAAGCCTAGGTCTCCAGATACTGGTAGAGCTCTTTGTTCTGAGGCACGATGCCCAAGTAGACCAAAAGCCGAACCATGAGGGTGGTCAGCCGCATAGCCAAAGTCTCCAGCCTGGGGAGGGAGGTGGAGGGGTCACAGGCTGACAGGGAGCAGGCACCGGCCTCGGGTCCACCCGTGGCACCTACTTGAACTTACCTCAGGGCCACTTCAAACTTGAGTAGCTCCCAGAAGACCTTGACGTGGCGCAGGAGGCTGCTGCTGTAGATGCCCTGGTACGCTGCAACCACCAGGCGGCTCCAGCCCCGAATGGCACTGCATCAGACACAGGCGTCAGCCCCATGGCCTGGGAGTCCCCGGGGAGCCCCCTTAGGCCACCAACCTTCTGGCCATGAGGAAGTAGCGGTCGACGGGGTTGCCTAGCACGGTGACAATGGAGCGCACGGTGTTGATGTTTCGCAGCACGAGCAGCATGGGCCGGGGCAGCTCCTTGAGCACCACCATGATGTTCTCAAAATGGTCCCGGGCCATGTCCCGCATGTAGGTGGACTCCTCTCGGCTCAGCAGATGGGAGCCCCACAGCTGGCCCAGACGCACTGGCCGCTGCATGAGCACCTCGGAGAACAGAAGGTAGTCTGCGGAAGACGAGGGTGCCCGGTCAGGGTGTGGCGGCTGGCTGTGGCTGCCCCCTCGGCACAGCGTCCGCCCTCACCTTGGACCCCGAGCGCAGCCGAGTGCGTCTTCATTGCAGTGTCGTCCCTCAAGATGATGGCCCTCCACAGCTGGCACAGGGCTGACCGGTCCCTGCGAGAGTCCAGCTGTGAGCCCCGGGGGGGGGGGGTGGACGGGACCCAGAATACAGCTCGCTAGTGCTTTGTCCTGCCTTACTTCTGATCCAGGAACTGGTAGAGTCCATGGTCCAGCAACACCAGCTCTGCCTTGCCATCCGGACCTTTCCGCACCAGAACTAGGAATAACGCATGTCAGTCATGTCGGCGTTCATTCCCCCTCACCAAGACCCAACCCTGGAGACATCCCTACCATTGCCAGGGTGAGGATCAGAGTGGATGAAACCAGTATAGAATATCTGCTCTGCAAAAGCCTGGATTAGCTTCTCTGCTACCTGGAGAGAGCATGAGATACGTAATGGACATGAGGGAGCCCCGCCCTTGTCCTTCCCGCCCCTGCCTGCACTCACATCCTGCACTGCCAGCCCCTTGCTTTTGATGGCCTCCAAATCATTGATCTTGCAACCTTCACAGAAGTCAGCCGTCAGCACACGCTGGGAGAGAGGAAGAGGCTGAGCCCGGAAGGCCCGTGCAGCCGCCTCCCACCAAAAAGGGGCCAGCCTGGCCCACCTTGCTGGATTTTTCCCAGTACACACGAGGGACTACCACATAGCGGAAGTGCTTCAGCTCCTGCGCGCAGCGCTCAGCATTTCGGCCCTCATTCTCAAAGTCCAGCTCCTGGGCCAGGGTGCCCTTCAGGTCCTGGGAACATGTATGGTCAGGGGCCAGCTCCATGTCTGGTAACTCACTACTGGCTACCTGCAAGCTAAAGTTCCCCAGCACTACCTGCAAGACCCAGCCGAAGCCGAAGCTGGGGTGCATGAGCCCCACGAGCTGCAGCAGGAGCTCCAGTGTGTGTACATCCCCGTCAAAGCGGTCCCGCAGATCAGCATACTGTACCTGCAGCAGCAAAGGCATAACAAGACTCAGTTGGCCACAGACGCCTGGGACCTCCCAGCCGAGGGCAGCCCGAGTACCTTCACAGCCACTGGAGTTCCATTGTGCAGCTTGGCGCGGTGCACCTGGGCCAGGCTAGCAGCAGCTATGGGCTGGTAGTCAAACTCCTGAAAGAGCTCACTGGGCAGGGCCTGGAAGTCTTCAAGAAACAGCTGATCCACCTGGCAGAAAGCGGTACTTAAAGTGGCACTGGGGCCCAGGGCAGCCTTCGGCCCTCCCAGTCTGCCGTGGAGCTTACCTCCCCAAGGTTCCTGGTGAGAGCCTTGTCCTCCAGGACCCGCAGGGTCTGGATGTACTCGGGCGGCAGCAGGTGGTTGAAGGAGCACAGCCCTTGGCCCAGCTTCACGTAGAGGCCCCCGTTGCTGATGGCTCCTTCCACCAGGGCATCTGCTGCCCGCTGGTGACACGCAGACATCACCTCCATGTACCCCGGGCTGTTCTGACCACAGGCAGGAGGGGAGGTTGGGACAGAGGCCGCTCCCCAGGCCCTACAGCACCCACTCCTCCAGCCTGCCCTGCACGCCCAGGACACGGGGACAAACCTCTTCCACCCCTCGCAGGGTGACGTTTGTGCACCACCAGTAGTCCAGGGAGATGTTCAGGCCGATCCTCAGGGACCTGTGGGGCAGAGACATGTTAGCCCCATCATGCCAGTTGTACAGGTTTCTTTGCCTCAAGTCCTCTCAAGGTCTAGCCAACCAATGAGATGAAGCTGAGGTCTAACCACTGGAATCCTTGACCTAGAGAGGGGGAGAGAGAGAGGGACAGAGAGAGAGTGTGTGTACATGTGCAGTCCTAGGACTTGAACTCTGGCTGGACTTCCTGAGCACAGCTACCACTACAACACTTAGGCACACCTTCTTTTTGCTAGTTAACTGGAGATTGAGTCTCAGACTTTTCTGCCCAGGCTGGCTTCAAACTGCAGTCCCCTAGTCCCAGCACCCTGAGTAGCTAGGATTCCAGGTGCCTGCCTCTGGCGTACCGTGTGGCCCCTCTGTTTAGACTCTGTCCTTACAGATGGTGTGTCTCAGCCCTGCACAGTGGCTCCCTGTGGACAGGAGGAAGCAGTGCTAGCTGCAGATACAGCAGGACCACAGCCGGGTCACCGAGGGAGGAGGGAAGGAGGGCTTCCCAGGTCCCGAGAAGCGCCTGCTGTTCTTGGTGCTTGGAGCCCCGGGTGGGTGTCTAGGAGCTGGAACCCTCCCTGTACCTCTTCCTGGGCTGTCAGCCCTGGGAAGATGTGATTTCCTCCCATGCCACAGGCTACTGGGCACAGAACGGGAAGGCCTCAGCAGAGGTGGTCCCAGAAAAGCCAGGAGGTTTTAAGCCTTAGCTGGCAAGGAATAGGACAAGTATACCTACATATTAAAAACTCTGGGGGCTGGGAAGGTGGCTCAGGGGTACAGTGCTTGCCTAGCATGCATGAAGCCCGGGGTCCAATTCTTCAGTACCACGTACACAGAAAAAGACAGAAGTGGTGCTGTGGCTCAAGTGGTAGAGTGCTAGCCTTGAGCAAAAGCAGCTCAGGGACAGCGCCCAGGCCCTGAGTTGAAGCCCCAGGACTGGCAAAAACAAAAAACCTGTCTGGGCACCAGTGGCTCACCTTGGTAACCCTAGCTGAGATCTGAGGATTGTGGTTTGAAGGCAGCCCGGGCAGTAATGTCCATGAGACTCTTATCTCCAATTAGCCACCGAAATGGCACTGTAGCTCAAAATGGCAGAGCATTAGCATTGAGCATAAAAGCTCAGGACAGCTGGGTGCCTGCTGGTGGTTCACGCCTGTAATCCTAGCTACTCAGGAGGCTGAGATCTGAGGATCAAGGTTCAAAGCCAGCCAGGGTGGGAAAGTCTATGAGACTTTTATCTCCATAAACCATTCAGAAAACTGGAAGTAGCGCTGTGGCTCAAGTGGTAGAACCTAGCCTTCAGCTGAAGAGCTGAGAAGTGGTAGAACCTAGCCTTCAGCTGAAGAGCTGAGGGACAGCGCCCAGGCCCAGAGTTCAAGCCACACAACCAACAACAAAAAAAGCTCAGGACAGTGCCCAGACTGAGTTGAAGCCCCATGACCAACAGCAACAACAAAACAACCTGGACCTGTCAGATACCGGTGGCTCACGCCTTTAATCATGACTACTCAGGAGGCTGAAATCAGGATCAAGATTCAAAGCCAGCCTAGACTGAAAAGTCCATGAGACCCTTATCTCCAATTAACCAGCAAAAAAGCCAGAATTAGAAGCATTGCTCAAGTGAGTGCTAGCTTTAAGAAAAAAAGCCAAGGGGGCTGGGAAGGTGGCTCAGTGGTAGAGCGCTTGCCTCACATGCCTGAGGCCCTGGGTTTGATTCCTCAGCACCACATAAGCAAAAAGAAAAAAGCCGGAAGTGGCGCCGTGGCTCAAGGGCTAGCCTTGAGCTGAATTGCTGAGGGACAGCGCCCAGGCCCAGAGTTCAGGCCCCACGACCGGACCCAAAAAATAAAGTGCTCTGTGTTATTCTTAAAAAAATATTTCAAAACAGAAAGGGAAGCCAGGCAAGGTGGTGCACAGTTTAATTTCAGCTGCTCTGATGGCTAAGAGGGAAGAATGCCAAATTCAAGGCCTGTCGAGGCACCTTTGTGAAACTCCATTTTTATTGCTCTGGTGTGCCGGCCCTGCCCTCGGTCCATCTGAGCACCAAGCAGCTCCAAGCCTCTGACTGGCTCTCCCATGTAACCTGCGCCAGCCCGCGGGGTGGTGCGCCTCACTGGCCTGCTCCCAAGTCCCATCTTCCCTCGGCTCCTCTCATCTGCTCCTCTCTGTTCTGGATGGCTCTGTTTCCAGCCTTATCTGTTTGGACTAGGGGCAGGGAGCAGATGTAGAAACACAAAAACGCTGGTAGTACCCTTCCTGCAGCCTGGCCTGGCCCCTAGGTCACTGCTAGGAGGCCCATCGTCCTGCTGGGTCAGGAGCGGCTGAGGTGGGCAGTGGCCGGGGCCGGCGTGGCCCCTCCATGTAGGGCAGAGATGGTCATAGAAGCAAACAGAAGACTCTACTGCCCTTGCCTACTCTCCGGGGCTGTAAAGATCAGAGAACTTGCACGGAAGTGTGCAGTGTTCACTGCCCCAAACCTGCCAACCAAACCAGCCCAGGAGGCGG